GAGCAATACAATGATACAATTTATGTTTTTCTTGTAAGTCCTATAATATTTCTAGCATTTTGTTTTGTAATATATCACTTTTTTAATTCATCTTTAATACTAACTTTAGTTCGACTCGAAGAACTCATATAGTTCAATTACTTCTAACACTATGCCAGAAATAATCTACGAAAGCTCTTTTTTGGGGCTTTAAAAGCGCTTAAAAGCGCTCTCGTAGGTAGCGCTGCTAAAGGTTTTAGCAGCGCTTTTTATTCAGAAAAAAGCGCTCTCGTAGGCTTATCTATGAAAGCGCTTTTTGGTAAAAAGCGCTTTCATAGGTAGGCCTACGAGAGCGCTTTTTTCTGAAAAAGCGCTTTCATAGGTGTATTCAGAATGCGTGTCAGGCAATCTAAAGTAGGCCTATAAGAGCGCTTTTTGTTCAGAAAAAAGCGCTCTCGTAGACCTACCTATGAAAGCGCTTTTAATCAAAAAGCGCTTTCATAGGTAGGCCTACGAGAGCGCTTTTTTCTTAAAAGCGCTTTCATAGGTTTTCTATTGAAAAATCTAAAATTTAAAAAATTTCTAAACCTGCATTTTTTTGCAGCAAACCTGTAATTCTTAAACCAGTATTTTACAATCTAATCTAGAAATACCAATATATATTAGTTTTAATCCAAATACCAAATATTATATATATATATATATATATATATATATATATATATATATATATATATATATAATATATATATATATATATATATATATATATATATATATATATATATATATATATATATATATATATATATATATATATATATATATATATATATATATATATATATATATATATATATATATATATATATATATATATATATATATATATATATATATATATATATATATATATATATATATATATATATATATATATATATATATATATATATATATATATATATATATATATATATATATATATAATACCATTATAATCAATTCATATCCAAAATATATATACACCATGGTAATTCAATATTAACATGTTTTTAAACGTAACAAAATACACCCTAAGAAATCAACTATATAACACTAAGTAAATCAATCCTAATCTACATATATATCCAAGGTCCTGATCCTGCAATATGAACATAATAACACGGTCAGTGTTGTATACACAAAACAATATATTCATAATTAACCAATTTTCACACAACAATGTATTCGTACCTTATTATAAGATTCTTAGCTCAATAAAATATTGGCACAACTCCTCTTTGAGTTCTTCCAATTGACGTGGCGAGTAATATGGACAATTGTATTGATCAAAATACTACATTACAAAACAAAATATATGCATGATTTAGTTTAATGTAATAAATTATATGCAAAATCCGATAAGTAATAAAACAAAGTATAAATCCATACCGTGATTGGAATCTCGATTTCATTCATTTGAATGATTTCTTTGATAAACTTCAAAACGCTTCAAAACGAAGTATCCGCAATCTATGCCGTTTTGTTATTGAGGGCACTACATAGAAAAATAAATAAGATTATACACATCTATTGATTTATCAAGTAGCATAAATATTATAAGCAAAATTGTTGAAATTTATATACCTGTACTTTGATCCAATTAATGTTGTTTGATTTAGACCGTGGTACTCGTGCTTTCCTTTGACATCGGAATACTTGTATTGAACTGATGACAAAATTAAAATATTTATTTAGAACAATGACATTGAAATAATTAAATATATAAACACAAACGAATATTTAGAATAATGTCACTTATGTATTAATCAATAGCTTCATTTCCGGATAATTTGTCCAATCACCGTCAACCGAATTCAGGTAATAGACCACTTCTTTTATGGGATTGATTGCAAGCAACAACCAGTGACATCTATAAATTAAAGCAACAATTTAGAAGCGAATTTTAATGTAAAAAATACAAATATTAAAAGGAGCTTAGAATGAAAATCTAACCCTGTATTATAAGGCAAAAGATACAAGCTCTCTGTACTGGAAGTTGTCATGAATCTTTCGACCAAGTGTTCTCTTACTGAATCAGGTTCCCTAGAAATTGTTGCTCCGCTGACACGGGAGGAAGACACGAAATAGAATCTATTTGACAATTGATTCCCGCGCATCAATTTGTCAAATAACATCCTTAAATAAAAACATAATTAATATTAGACTATTTCAATTAAATGTTTAAAAAAATGTTCAACCAATTAAATAATATATTGATCGGGTTACCGGATGTACGAGTGCATCACTCTCGATGATGAAAGATTTGTTCCATGTCCTCTAATCCAATTGTTTCGATACATGGAAAACCAAAGACAATTTCATCCACATCGATTTGACGAATTCCATCATTCATCAAATCTGATGTGCCAACTAGTGTCTCCAGACACTGTCGATACCTAGGCACAAATTTACGGACAGGAACCTTCTTCTTAGGTGGAACCCTACTAACTTTCTGGCTCACCTGCTGTGACTGATCTTGAGAAGGTACCTTAAAAATCATATAGAATTATGTAAGATACAAAGTTATGCAGTTTTTTATTCCGATCATAAATGAAACACTTTAAAAGTACCTGTCTTTGCGATGCAATAGACTCGCCGCGCTGCAAAATCCCTTTATCCTTAGATGCGGGTTTTGCAGGAGTCTAAAATTACCATGTATAAAATTCAGGTCAGAAGTGTCAGTTGAATACTTAAAAATTCATAATGGTTTTCAACATACCTGATCATCTATGCAGATGAGGTCTGATGGCCATGCCACAAAAGATCCTACTGCATCTCGCAGCAATGTGGTCTCCGCAACAATGTCAGGTACCGGTAGCAATGCATTCATATCTAAAACAACATCAACCGATACCTTCATGTGGCCATCCGGGAGCGGTATATGGTGAATTAAATCTCCCGAGGTGTTGTGCACTTTTCCCTTGCCAACTACCCGATAAGTCGGAGATGCTAGATACAGCTGACAACATGAAATGCCCTAAACCAATAATAACCGTTAGACTTCCTTTAATGTTGACAATAATAACCGTTATAATTATACTTTCTCTAAATATAATGGATTATCATCTTAATTACCTCGGGAAAATATTGTTGACAGTTGATACTAGCCTTGTCACTAGTTTCTTTCAACTGTGAACTGCTCCTTTCTGCCATATATCTCTCTTTGTCCCTCTGCAGTTCACGGACTTGTGCTTGTAAATCCTGCAATGTTTGCATCACTTCTGCATTGCTAGGATTTCTTTTTCTTGGATTGTTATACAGAGAGGTAGGAGTCACACCATGGCCTTTACCCCTCACTCGTCCCGGATACTCAGCAACACATAGTGCTCGACTGAATACGCTCCCGATATTCCGGTCATCACCCGTGGATACCGATTGCGATATAGTCTCCTGTAATTCATTTAAATATCGATAATTAAAGACACAACGTTAATTATATATTAATTAAAGACATAATGGTATACTTACACACTCATCATAAATATGTTGCAGATCGGGGTTAACAACTTTATCTCTGCCAACACGAGCTTCCTTCCATAGCGCATGTGCAGGTAGTGATGTTTCGTCACTCTGCGTCTCCTCCAACTACGCATTGTTACAAATAATAAAATCATCAATACACATTGTTACAAATTAATAATACACATTGAGATAATTAATAAGATCGTAGAATTGAGATTTACTTACAATTTTTTCCTGTAAGCGTGCATATCCCAAACGACCTTTTTTATATGGATATGCAGGTTTTGACGCTCTATCCCGATTTACAGCACTCACTTTCTTGAAATTCCCGTCTCTTCTTTGGCCCACAAAAGCAACCCATTCTTCGGGTGTAATTAAGCTCTCATATTTATTTGGTCGTTCAGGATCCTCTTCAACAAAATTTCCTTCATCGTCTTTAAGAAACTTATTTGTCAAAAAATTTCTCCACCCTCTATGTCTTTTTCCGGCCAAGCCCATTATATACTTTTTGCGGGCATCTTCAATGTTAAAAGACCTCTACAAAAAAACATACGCATAGAGGGTGTTAGTATATGTAATTTAAAAACAATATTTTCGTCAAAATAAAGCAAATAACAACAACCATATATGATACCTTTATCTCGGTCCAAATTCTTTCTTTAGCATCCAACTCTCCTTTTTTCCAGTTAGGAGTGGTGATCGGAATGTGCATACGAACAAGCGTACCGATGTAGCTTGTCAGCTTTGCAGAATTAGGCCCAATTAGTTGGTCATCATTATTCCAATCTACATTATACTTAATACCTCTATCTCTATCACGGATGATTCCCTGCATGATAGTTATGCCTCGTGTGATGTCCTTATCTGAAGTGTCTTGTGGAACATTATCTTGTGGAACATCTCCTTGTGGAACATTTTCTGAATTATCTTGTGGAACATCTCCTTGTGGAACATTGTGATACATTTTCTGTCAAAACGCAAAGTATACACGGAATGAATCCGTATCAAGAAAATGCAACATACGAAAGACAATTTAAGACAAATTCATCACAATATATACCAGTAATTTGAGGAAGAAAGTTACCTCTCAGATGTTTCGATCTCTAAGAAACGTGGAGAATGAGCGTCGTACGTCGAACTAAGCCGGGAAACGCTGCAAATTCATAGAATGTTATTCAATATAATCCAAAACACAAACCATTTCAATGTTACCACCAAAATTATGTAGCATGCACCCGGAGAAATAAAACATACATCAACCCACAAATAAGAAACATATAAACAAAAAATAAGTAGAATGTGCGTAAGTTTCTTCCTGTATCATAACGTTGGTGTTTTCCAACAAGAATCCAAACATATACTAACAGCATTATCTATCCCTAGAAATACTCAGATAATGGAAGAAGAAATCGGAACAGGCCAGAACATGCATAACTAAACGGTCAAATAACAGAACAGATAATGGAAGAAGAAGAAACTTACCAAGATGGACAAGAACGCAGTGAACGGCGGCGATGACTGAAGAAGAGGGAAGAACGACATCGACGAAGGAAGACGAAGCAGCAGTGAACGAACGCAGCAATGGGATTCTGGAAACGCAACAATGGGACGAACACGAACAGGAACAGGAACGGAATGCAAGGAAGAGGAACAGTAACGGCGACGGCGAGAAACGGAACGGGAACAGGAAGAAGAAATGAAGAAGACGAAGAAATGAACAAGTGAGGGCAAATTTCGTATTTAGGGATATAACCTACGAAAGCGCTTTTAAAAGCGCTTTCTAAGACCCATATATGAGAGCGTTTCTGAGGTAAAAAGCGCTTTCGTATGTCCCCCATATAAGAGCGCTTTAGAAAGCGCTTTCGTAGGTCCCCCTTTCAGAGAGCTTTTCAAAAGTGCTTTTATAGGGCCACCTATAAGAGCGCTTTTCAAAAGCGCTTTCGTAGGTTAGATATTTCAAATACCTATGAAAGCTCTTTCTGAAAAGCGCTTTCGTAGGAAACCCTATAAAAGCGCTTTTTTAAGCAAATTTTTTTTAAAGGCTACGAAAACGCTTTCTCTTAAAAGCGCTTTCGTAGATGCGCTGCCAAAAATTGTTTTTTTCGTAGTGTAAGATTACTTTATAGTTTTTTATCAATGTTGAGAAAATTGGATCATATTCGATTAACCTTGATCGGCTAAAAAACGGTGTGCTCATATGTCCATTATATTGAAAAAACGCCCAAAAAAACATATCTTTGGCAAGACCAATGAGTAATTTTAAAGCTTGTAGCTTATATGCTCACATTAATAAAATAAAAATATATATTTGGTAACTGTTTTTTTTCTTTCACGAAATTATAGTTTTCTTATTAACTTTTAAATTTTTCTTGACACTATTTTCAACCGCATTTAAATTTTTAACTTATAGTTTATTATACAGGAATAATATCAGCAGACTTTAGAGAAGATAATATAAAGGAAAGTAAGACAAGCAAAATATACTCGGGCCGAACGAGCACAAGGGTAATACCATAACCCGTCCATACTAGGCTTGTGCCACTTGGACCAGATTTCTCTCACCAGCTTGTTAAAACAGAGGTAGTGACATGTCTGCACAACTGCTGACTAAAAGGGGTAGTCAAACAAGGAAATTATTCCCCATGATTCAAGGAAGGGTGAAACTCAATCTCTTTATCTTTACCAGTCATGAAGCTTAAATAATCCTCTCTCTAGTTCTTTGACCCACACCACATCAAAGAGGTCTGTATAAATATCTCATTCTTAGGATTGAGGGGGCATCCAATCTTTCTTCTAAAAAATTCATACAGGAAGCTTCTCACCACTCGGCGTGGCTAGACCTAAACCCAACAACTTACCCCTAAAACACCATTTGTAACCCTACAAATATATAGATATCTCTTTGTACTTTTTATAAAGTACAATTGGCACCTATCATCAGATCGGATAAAACTTACTTAGTTGATACTCGCTATCTATGTCAACTACTCCAATCACCTTCTCTGGTAGGATGGCCTAACGAGATGTAAATTCCACCTTCAGTACCACCACAAGAGTGTTCGACGATGGTAGATAATTTAGCTCTTTTCAACGGAAGTTTTCCATGATGATCTTAATGGCGAGGATTAAGCCAGTTAGTCCCGAGAACCATTTAGAGAAGGAGTCGTAGTCCAAAATCACCTTTTCTAGCAAAGAAGTTGGCGCAATCCTACCTCAAACTGATAATTGAGATGTAAAGTAAGTGTTGATTGACCCAATAATAATGAACATCATGTTATGGAATGACTTTGAGAGTCTTGTACTTGATTCAAATGATATTTGAGTATACTGAGGCTCCTTGGTCGGTCTCTCTAGAAAACAGATTCAAGTGAAAGGCCACATAATGCTCGAGACAATTTTGAGGTAGGGGGAGAACGTAACGACATTCAAGGTCATATAGTTTGTAGTAGACACTTCATCACCAAACAACATTATTGATGGTAGGCACACCCTTAATCTGGTGGTGACCATCTTATCCACTTTACATTTAAGCATGAATTATCAACTACCTAACAGGCAAGTTGGGTGGTCTATGGGGACCAAGAGATCACCTTGGAATGTTATCAAATCAGTCTTCAAATGATAAAATTGGGGATGGCCTCAAATGCCATTCTAAATCTAGGCACGCGGGGACTGGACGCTACAAGTTTAAATCACAAAATGGAGACAGTGATTGAAAGACTCACTCCCATGGAGGATCCAAAAAAGAAGATGAATGAAAAGAATCAGATATATACTCCCAATATTAACTAAATAAAAGAAGGTGGATTATTATTTTCAAAAACATAAAGATAATTAATTATACATTATCATATTTTACGTTATGAAAAGAAAAAAAGTAACGAACATAATGAATGTAGCATGTCTTTTTATATTTCCAAATAGTTTGAATGATTAATAATAAAATTATGATAGAATTATTATGAATGAATGATTTCAGTAAATGAAAAATAGGAACGAAGAGTGAAAATGTATCGAATATTGTTTTATTTTAAAATTTTTGAATAAATTGATTTTGAAAAAAGTCACATCAGATTCTATAGTTAGTATCAAAGCTTAGATTTTTGTGAAATTAACACATAAGCTAAAAACTTTGTGAGATTGACACATAAGCTAGGGTTGCTATCATGACTTCTTTACATTTATATTAAACTAGACGTCTACCCGCGCGATGCGCATATAAGTTTTATAAATTATTATCAATAATAACTAATTTAGATAAATATAAAATATATATCTAGAATTTATTTAATATCAAAAAATTTAAAAATATTCAATAATTTACCACTTATAATAATATCTATTTTATAATTATATTCATTACAATCAAGTTAAAAGTAAATAAAAATATTTAATTATAATATAATAGAATATAAAAATATTCAGTACTATATTTATTATAATAATAATAATAATAATAATAATAATAATAATAATAATAATAATAATAATAATAATAATAATAATAATAATAATAATAATAATAATAATAATAATAATAATAATGATAATAATAATGATAATGTACATTATAAAAATATATCATTCTTCTTGTACCACTTATCTTTCACGGCAGGCATCTAAATCTCCAACAATATATATTTGGTTCATAATATTGAATAAAAAGCAGACATATATTAATATAATTTTTTTCATTACAAATCAACTTAAAAAATGAATTAAATCTCTTAAATTAATATAATATAAACACCTTCAATATTTGTGAGTTTATTATGGTAATCCATTTTTTTTATTTAATTGATTTATACCATATCAATATTTTTACGAGTCTTTGTTTCTCTTCAATTAGATTTAAATTAAAGAATAAATAAAATAAATGATAAAAACAAAAAAATGAAAAAAATAAATTAAAAATAAGAAAATCTAAATTTGGGAGGTCAGAACGGTTCTTAAGAAATTCTTCTTAATAAAATGTAGTAGTGTGTTCGAGCAAATAAATAAATATAATTATTATTATTTATGCTTGCAATATTTTATGTTTACAAAGCCTACAAAAGTATATTATGTATTTTACATGAAAATAGAATAATTGAGTATGAAATTTAATAAGATAAACAAATATACAAATAGTTATTAGAAGAAAAGCCTCTTATTGATTGATTAGAGTTGTAATCAATAGAAAACATTGTGAAAAATCATAGAAAATAATGAATAGGTGAAATGGATAGCAAAAGCAATTAGAATTAAGAGATGATTATAAAAGTGAATAAGAATACAAAAATACATAATAATTAAATATTGTTTTCATATATTATTATTATGACAGAAAAATAATAAAAAGTAATATTCTATTAATTAATAGAAAAATAATAACTGATAAACGTAAATAAATAATGACATTAAGATAGTATTTTTATAATACTAAATAAATAAAAGCTACTAAACCTCTTTTAAAGACAATTAGAACAATTATGCATAAGTTAAAGGAGAAAAAGATGAGGTCCTAGTTATTATAAAATTATTATTAAAAAATAATATAATATCTAAAATATAATTATTTTATAATTAAAAAAAAGATATTATTAGTAAAGAATATAAAAAATTTATATTAACAAAAAATTGTTAATATAAATTTATGTTTAGAAATTAAAATCATAAATGCATCAATTAAAATTAAAAATTTATTATAAAACTGTGAAATGTAACGTGTTTTAAATTTCTAAAGAATCATGTTTAAGAATATTTCTACCTTTTATATTAAAGTTATTCTCTTTTCTGTATAATTTTAGAATTTAATATTTTTAAAACTAAATTTTTTAAGGTCCAAAAAGCTATAATAAATATAAAATAAAATAAAGATATACCATAAATATATTTTAAACCATTTATTTGTAATTACTTTTTTCTTTAACATATTTCATAAAGAATGATATACATTTCTTTAATATTCTTGCACATGAAAATATTTTTTTTTTTTCTATTCTTATTAAAATATCCACTTTATACACCACATTATTTACCTCTTAACATTCTTCTTATAATTTAATTAAATCAAAATAAAAACAGTCTGTCTTATTTCTCAATCTAAAACTTGTAAAATACATATTAATATCATTGAAAAAATCTTGAATATTTGATTCTTCGATGTAATGTAACTTGAGCTATATTAACAATTAGACATAGATAACAAATGAATAGTCTTTTACCTTGCTAAAAAAACAAATTGATAATCAAGACGTGTATATAAATTCATACAATTTTAAAGAATACTAAAAAGGTGAAGATTTGAAACTAAACTCACTTATTTATACTCACAATGAACAAAAGCATGTAGAACATTAAAAATTAATAAAATTATAACAGAAAATTTTATTATTCAAGGACATCTAAAGCTCCCTTAACCATGTTTAAGTCTTCAATATCCAACTTCGATAGATATTTAAGTCTCCAATATCCAACTTCCATAGATGAAGAGTATTATCTGAATAGAAAAGTAGACTAATGGCGATCTTTGATATTTATATCTTTCGTTTACCATCAACATTTTTATGACTGGTAGTTATCTTCTCGATTAGATTAACTTCAATAATAAACTCAATCACACTGATGAACAAAAATATTTAATATGTTATACATAAAAATAAAATAATTGAATATGAGATTCAATAATAAGGTAAACTTACCTAAAAAACCATTGCAAGAAAAATAAATAAAAACTCGTTAAAGTTGTCACGGTGAAAATCATTATAAAAAAACGGTGAATTTGTGAAACGTGTAGCAAATGCATCGAGTAAATAATAATGTGAGATTATATACAGTTTTATAGGTTTAGAGGAATTTAAAGGAACATAATTTTTATGAGAGTGTTAACGTTACTAAAACGAGGAGTTTTATGAATATGACATTTTAATGAATATTTAAGAAAATAAATTAAAAAGTGATAGGCACTTTAGATAATCACTTTAGATAATTTTCTTGATATGATATATATTTATAAGAGTCTTTGATATAATATTTTTTAATCTTATTTTTTCCATATTTTTTTATTATGGAAAGAAAAATAATGTGACTCATAACAGAATCTCAATCTATCATATAAGAATAGTGAACCTAAGTATTCACAAACCATTGCGCCATGTGGCTGGTCTAACATAGCAACTATTTTATTTGCCTAATTTCCAAAAAAAAATCTCATATTTATTCCTTTTTTACATTTTCTTCTTCCATCATGGGTTGTTATGGAAGAACCCTTACCACCTTCATATTCCCAATTCAAAACCTCCATATACACACTTATAAACCGTTTCATAACCCATTAACTTTGCAACCATCCTAATTATCATCAAAATGGTTTCATAACTCCTTAATCATTCAACCATCTCAATGATCATGCCTATTCTATTTATAACCCCCCATGTTTGTTATCAGTATCATCTTCTTCATGGAAAATAGATAGTTTTGGCGATGACGTGCGGTATGACGATGATAGATCAATGGGTTTCAAATCTAAATCTTCAAATTCATCCTCTATTTTTGGGGTTTTCAACCTGTAATTTCTTTTGCTGTTCCAACCTTTTGAAACAATAGATGGTTTCTTCTAATTCTTTGTTTGATATTTTTTTAGAGTTAACTCATATTTAGTTTTATCAGTTTTTGTTATTATATCAAGTTAGATTTTTACATTGAGAACAATGTGCTTCTAGATTCAGGTTAGAGATTTCAAAATTGAGGATGATGTGCTTCTGGATTTAGATTAGGGATCTCAAAATTGAGGATGATGTGCTTATATTAAATTTGCAAATGCATATCTTCTTGCGTTGAAAGGAGAGGCCGAAATCATTCGCATATGTTTATTCACAGGGTCCTATTTTTTTATTTGAACATAATAATGTTTTGATTGATGATGTTGATCCATTATGCATAGTACATTCTGCACTTATTGCAGTTTTTGATCATCGGGTAAAGGTTTTAGCCATCTTCATACTCGGTGATCACTTTTATTTGTTTTGCATATAAGGCCCACTGTTGTTTATTTATCCTTCATGGCTTGTAATAATTATGGATAGATAGATATAAGTACCTAACTGTGTTGTTTTAGTCTAAAATGTGAGATCGCGTCAAACAAGGCAGACTTGAAGTGTAAATTGGTGGTGTTGGTTAGTCATGTCATTTGTGTTATTAGTGTTGTGTTTCTATTGTTGATGTTATGGTAAAGTATATGTTTTTGTTTTTGATATGGTAGGAATAACATTTCACGAAACTGGTATTTTCGGCTTCCACTTTCACATTATGTATTAGGTAAAAGTGTATAGAACTTCATTTTGTTATTATTCAAGCATATATGGTTTGAAGGATTCATGGAATCCCTGTCTCATTGCTAACTATTTTGCTTACAATTTATATTTTTAATAGGGAATATTTGTGGAGGTTCGGCAGGCTGCAGCATTATACATTACAAGAAAATCACCATTTAGCTGCAATTTTTTAGCGTCGGCCCTGATACCGACACTCATAGTGTTGCTATTACGGCGGAATAAGCTGAAGTTAACTGAATAAAGCCATTGTTTTATTTTTTTATTAGACGTTGATCATAGTGTCGGCCATAGCCGACGCTAAAACTTGCTCTTTATAATTTCCTTTCCCCATCAATTTCGCTTGCCTCCTTATTATTTATTATATTAAATAATATTTTTATTTTTAATCGTAATGACGGTTAGGGCCGCCGCTAGTATTAGTGCCAAATTTTTGTTTGCCTCCTTATTAACGACTGTGTTTGCCTCCTTATTAAGTATTGTGTTAAATAAATATTAATTTTTAATAGTAGCGACTGGTTGGCCGACGCTAATATTGGTGCTAAATAATTCATTTCTCTCCACCAATTTTGTTTGCCTCCTTTTTATTTATTGTATTAAATAATTATTAATTTTAATATTAGCGACGTTGTTGGCTGATGTTAATATTAGTGTCAAATAATTTCATTTCTCTACACCAATTTCGTTTGTCTCCTTTTTATTTATTGTATTAAATAATTATTAATTTTTAATATTAGCGAAGATGTGGACCGACGCTAATATTAGTGCCAAATAATTTCATTTCTCCACCAATTTGGTTCATTTTTTATTGTTTCAATCTATTTGTTAGTCTATTATTTTTAACTATAAAATAAAAAAACCAATATATTAAGATAACTAAAATTAAAATTTTAAAATAAAATCAATATTATAAATTAGTAAATTAAAATAAAACTAACTAAAATTAAATTTATAAAATAAAGTATAAATTTTATAAAATTAAATCAAAAGTATATTAAACTCAAATTTATAAAATAAAATCAATATTTTAAATTAGTAAATTAAAATTAAATTTTAATTAAATTAATAAAATTTAATTAAAGTTTAACTTATAAAATAAAATCAAAACTATGTATTAATAAAATAATAAAATAAAACAAAAAATGAATTAAAATTATTTAGTAAAAGAAAATAAAAATAAAATAAGTAAAATATTATAAAGTAGTAATTAAAATATAATCAAAATTTATTTATTAAAATGTATTTAGTAAAAATAAAATAAAAACATAAAGTAATTAGTAAATTTAATTAGAATTGTAAAGAATAAACAGAAGGAAGAAAATCGGTTCAACTTCTCATCGTTTCATTCTAGCTTTTCAGCTTCTCTTTTCGATTCAGACGGAAATCGTCGTTTCGGCATTTAGCAATCATTTCAGGTTGAAATCTTTCATTTCATCGTTTCATCGTTTCATCTCCAGATTGCAATCGCGTCTCAAAATCATTTCATCTTTTCAGATTGCAAGGAATCGCTTCTCAAATTCGCTTCAGGTTGCAATTGCTTCTCAAAATCGTTTTAGGTTGAAATCTTTTCATCATATTTCTTTTCAAAATCGTGTTTTCGATTCTTCATTTCAATTCTTCATTTTGATTCGTCCGTTAGATACTGATTGCTCCGATTTTGATTTTGTGTTTTGCAATGATCACTTTTTCTGAATTTCTCTGCTGTTCTGTTGGGAATTTGTGATTTTAGATTCAGTAGTTAATTAGCCCTAATTCCTAACTTAATCTATTTTTTCTGTTAATTTTTATGTAAATTCAGTAGTTAATTATCCCTAATTCAGTACTGCCAAGTGTGATACGGTGGCCAGAACCGGGACGTGTTTCCCTATTTTTTAAGGAATTTGCTGGTTTGCGTTTTGCTTTATGTTTGCAAAATGTCGCGGTAAACAAGAGTTGTCACCGTCTTTTATTTTATCCAACAAGGAAAGGAAAATAGCACAGAAAAATTCCTTTTTAAAGATATTTTTGAGTACGGGGGGTAGATTATAGAAAGGGAAGGTATTAGCACCCTTTCTATCCGTAGTTATCTACGGGCTCTTAGGTACTTGCTCATCATTTTCAAAATTGTTTTCTTTGTGTTTGTGGGCTTTGAAAAGTTTTTGTTTTAACTTCGATTTAACTCTTGCTTCTGTCTTCAAGAGTGTAATGAAGTGTTTTTGAAAACTTGTTTGAAAAGGAGTGTAAGTGTGAAAAAAGTTTGTTTTGATTGAGCAAGTACTTAAGAACTAATCTACCTACTCGAAAAAAGAATCGTTTTGTATTCGTTTCCTTTAGACAGCGCTATCCCACTATTAGTAAGTAGGTAGCACCGTCGTTGGAGTTTTGAGGGTCAATTCGAAATGGACTTACGATCACTAAAGCAATGTTATGACGTCTTATTAATAACCCTAATATCTTAGATCATTTATCCGAGGCAACAATATCCGAGGCAACCTTTCCGAGACAACTTTGATCTTTGGACAAAGGACGACCACTAAAGCATCCTATACTCAATGACCGTTTACCGAAGGCAACCAAGTGGGAGTGTACCCTAGGAGTGCGCATGTGCGAGTGATTCAATTTCAGTTTATTTATCTTTGCACATTTAAGGTGATCTAACTATTTTCAATTTAAACATACATTCTTGTCATGCATCCTATTATCATACATCTAACAGTTAATAATTTGCGGAATTTAAACTAAGCTATTACAAGGCTTCAGGTATTTACATAGCCAAAAACAAACCCTTGAAACGTAAAGCGGTAAAAGTAAAAGTCCTAATTAAAACTATTACAAACTGTGAGCAGATACAATAATTGGGATAAAAAATAGAATAAAGCGCGCGATGACAAATTAGATCGAATGCGAACTAGGGTTTTGACCCTCCTAATCTAATTAAAAGGAAAATGTTTTATGTTGTTTTTAGTAATTTTTAAAGAAAAGAATTAAGTTGCATAAATTAAATACAAAAATTAATTAGTCAATTAAATTAATTAATAAAAATAATGGCCTATTTTTGTTTTTTTTTTGTTATTTTAGGAAAAAATAAAATAATTAAGTTAGTAATAAAACCTATTTATTCTAATTATTTTTAATTATGTACAAAATAATTAAAGTTTTACCTAAAATTAAATCTAATTAAATTAATAAATTTATTGAAAAAAATAATACCTAAATCTAATTGGTGGAAAATATTTTTGGTGATTTTTGGATAAAAAATAAAATAATTATTTGGTTAGTAAAATAAATAAATAAATAAATTAAAATAAAATAAAATAAAATAGAAAAGAAAAAGAAAATGGGCCTGAATAGCAACTTGGGGAGGTGTAAGAAGCAGAAATCTGGGCCCATTTGAGTGAGGTCCACGTTGACCTTCAGTTCTGATGCTATGTGTTAACTGTGGCTCATGATGCACCTTCAGATGATGGCCATTAGATTTGGCCATCTAACACTTGGCTGGCCAGATTGGAAGGGTGTATGGTGGACCCTGGGTTTGTACATGCATGAGATCCTGAAAAGAAAATAATATGGAGACGTTGGGGGACCTGGGATTCGAACCCAGGCCCCAAGGCAAATTCCACGCTACGCTCACCACTGCACCACATGTTCTTGTTTGTACATACAATACATAATAATAATAATATATGAAAACAAAGAATTAATAGAAATTTTGCGCGAAAATTCAAACGGACGAATCAGATGGAGCCACGCAGTCGTCCCATTCCTTGGATCTGTTGGTAAAAGTGAAACACTTTTACCTACGGAAGTTTGTCTGTAGCTATAGCCCTGTGCATTCTCAAAATCAAGCACAAACATGATAAATGAAAAACAAAGCCATGGTTGAATTCGTCTGGTCCTGCTGGTTATATTGGTGGCCCTTTTATGGCCCAATTTTGCTTATACACAGAAATCCCAAATTGAGCTCGTAAACCCTAACAATGGTGAAACTCCATACAAGCCATGAAAACGCAATAAAACCATACATAAAGTTTTCATATGTCTCATGGACCAACAATATATGATTAATTCATCCTAACAATGCCTAAATCATGCTATTCGAATTCAAGAAATATTGGATACCGTGACTGACTTACAGTGCAATACAGGGCTCGAAAATGCTTGATTTTGATGGCTTTGGCTTGCTGAGAGTCCCAGGAAGTGATTGAGATGGATAGAAGGCCTTGAGGATGCCTGGAATATGGGATTCGATCTTGCACTTTTCTTGATTTTTTCAAATGTTGTTTTGCTTGCTGCGCCTGTTTCTAACCGGGTTTTAGGTCTTCCTTTGTTCTATTTTTACCAAGGAATGCATTAGGGTTGAAAGAATGTATCCAATCTTCCTCCATCAATGTCCTTGATCTTGATTTGATTCATCTTTAAATCTTTCCAAAATTGGCCTAAAACCAATCTTTTTGTGCACATATTCCTTCACACGAATTTGAATATTTGCTAGCTATATAATAAAACCTGAATCATGCGAAAAATCTTTAGTTTTCAATACTTTGGATTTTATATGATTTGTCTTGATTTAAATTGAATTAATTCAAATAAAAATCAAAATAAATAAATAAAATAAGATATGGACAAGTGGCAAAGGCTAGAGCTCGTGGACTATGTTTCCAACTCAAAACAAGTGAAAAAGATTGGGGCCATTTGGCAAAAATTGAAGTTTTAGGGATAGTTGACTTTTGGCAATTTCGCAAAAAGGGTCAACTTCACCAATGCATAACTTCCTCAATTTTGACTCTTTGGAGGTGTTCTTTGACTTTTTAGAAAGCTTGAGATGTCCTTTAATCAACCCTTTTTGTCTAATCTCAATTTGATATTCCATGCTCATGTATTAAGCTTTGACAAAAAAGGTGTTTTTGTTGACTTTTCAAAATGACCTATAATGTCCAAATTCATAACTTCTCGTGAGTGCATATTTTGAACTTGGGAGATGAAGATGGATTATAAAGAATTCCATCCTCTTCAAAATGAGATTTGTATGGGTCATTTCTCATAAAGTATGAGAAAGTTATGCTTGGTCAAAGTTGAGTTGACTTTTCCTACAAAACCCTAATTTAGCAACTTTTGAGTCTTGATGAATTATGAGCAATCCTTGATGAATCATGATCAAACCTCGATCAAATGATGAAATTTAC